AACTACAAAAAACCTCATAATATTAAAAAGGGGGGAAAATCAGATTAGTTATGTTTAGGAATCAACTCTTTAAACATTTATCTACTTAAAATATGTTACTTTTAGAAGGTATGTTATTAACTTTCTATTTGTACTTGTATTATTTTTATTTCATTTTATCTCTGTTTGTTGTACTTTTAAATTAATTTTGATATTAATCTTATCTATTTCTATTTTTTTATATTCACATATGTTGTTTTCATTAAAACAAACGTTCTTTAAATATAATGAATTCATATTGTTTTATTATATGCTTGTTAGAATGATAACTTTTATTTCCTTTTGAAAATGAATTTTGAAGTTAAAGTCGAAACGGTGAGTGAGAATAAAAAATTAGACGAAAGTGACGATATTTACTGGAGCTTTCATCTACACGCTCCTTTTTATAGCCCCTCGATCCTTACATTTTCCAGATTTACAGAGAAAACGCTGTCTTCTTTCACATATCCGGACCTTCTTTGATGGGGACTATACCACTACTTTACATTATCAGCCTTATTTGTTATCCTGAGCAATTTAAATGCATTTGTAATTACTCATTCTCACCTTTTTTCTTGTAGATTCCGATTTCTTATTACGTTTGCAATGCTCTTTTGTTTTTACAGCTATAATTCTATAATGCTGTAACGCTACAATATGGAACTATTTTTGTGGTTTATACTATTTAATTTTAATCGTAAGTGACCAACCTATTGTATTACAGGCCTGAAGATGTCCCTGTGAGGCCGAAACTAGTCGCTTCTGTATTTATTTATAACAAAATCATTATGAGGTTTTATTCTTTAATTGAAAAAATTAGACCTTTACGGTGATTTTGTTTCATTTCCTGCATCACACACATATAAGACGGTATACATTTTAAAAATTAACAAATTTTTTTAATTTTTTTTAGAATTAAAAAGTTTGGACAATGTGTGTTCTTACAGAGAAATTATACGCCACTGAACAAGAAGTATGTTTACCTTTCCCCTTGTGCCCGCTTCCTCACTTCCTCTACAAATGTTTGCGAACACAACAATCGCCTACAAACTCGTTTAACGCTCCCTCTAGTAGTAATTGCTCGGAGATTTTAGCGATAGACCTACACCACATACTTTGATTACTATACGAGGCAAGAGAGAGGTCCGATACGCCCAACATAGGGCGCGGCCATTTTGAACCCTGTGACACAGTTTATAGCTAAAGAATCAGATCGCTCACTCTGCGTCGGCACTTTGGATCTCAATGTTTCAGTTTATACACTGTGCAACTCGGATAATACAATATATGACAACCGCCTATAATAAAGCAGCAGTCTTCTGCATATCCTGAATTTGTATCCCTGGAGTGGATGTTATTTTGGAACTTTCAACTGGTCCGAGTGAGCTAACTGATTCTTTAGCAATAAACTGTGACTTCAAAAATAATAGAGAGTTATTGCAAGTTCACTTAAGGTCAGTCACTATTAGTGCCGCTCTTATTTTGACATCTAAGCATGCGCAGATCACTAACTTTAATAAAGATTGTGCCTGTCCTTAATAGAGAGATATTGCAAATTTCTATAAAGCCAGCCACTAATAGTGACATCGTAATTAGAGTCAAATAAATTCCGTGCTAAAATCAGACTTATTGCAAACCTGAAATTTTGACATTAGAATCCTCGTCCTTATACTTATTTCTAACCTTATAAGGTTTAAATGACGATTATATTAAATATTTAATATTAAAAAACTTCTAACGGATACGAATGTCGCCGAGCGCATCCGAAAGCTATAAAGTCGCCACTACCTGCTGCCCTTAAACATCCACAATTAAGGACAGGCACAATCCTTAATAAAGTCAGTTTTAGAACATAAACATCTGCGCATGCTTAGATGTCAAAATAAGAGCAGCACTAATAGTGACTGACCTTAAGTGAACTTGCAATAACTCTCTTATTAAGGACAGGCGCAATTTTTATTAAAGTTAGTGATCTGCGCATGCTCAGATGTCAAAATAAGAGCGGCACTAATAGTGACAGATCTTAACTGAACTTGCAATAACTCTCTAATATTCACTGACACTCATTGCGTTTGGTCTGCCAAGTTCCTTTAACTCCTTTAACACTTTTAACACCAAACGACCCTTTTAGCGTTCGGTTTAGTCCGATTAGTGACAGTTTAACACGCTTAAATGTCATTTAAAAGCACCCTAAAATTTGTCCCGCTCCAGCCCCTGACTATCCGAACTCGCCTATTGACAGCAGCAAGCAAAATATCAGGTGCGTTTTAATCATCCGCTTCTGCTTCCGGAATTGTCGGTTTAGTCGTTTTAACCTGTCAGATTAAAACAAGAAAACCGACAATTCCGAAGCAGAAGCGGATGATTAAAACGCACCTATTAAAAATATTGCGCCAAGATGTAGGCAACACGTAATAAGGGTTCAAAATGGCGGAGTTTTCTATCTCCTTTTAAAAGGCACTCAGAAAGCTGCGCAGTGCGACCATTCTCCGTATAGTAAAAGAAAATCAAAGTATTATTATTATTATTATTATTATAATACATTGATAAAGGCTGAGGACACAAGTCCTATGATAGCCTAAAAACAAAATAGAAAAATTCTAACAAAGTAAACACACTGAAACAAAAATAACACTAAAAATTGAATAAAAATGTTAATTAAACAAACACGCGTCTAACTTATGTTTAAAGACGTTAACTGTTATGGCACCAACAACTTCATCGCTGAGGTCGTTCCATACATTAAATACCCGGTTGGAAAGGAATGATTGTCTGTGCTTCGTTTTTAGGTTTTCCTTTTTTAATTTTAGTTCGTGACCACGTAGACGAGAGTCAGTATTTAACAAAAAAATGTCACTAAGATTTCCGTATGTGACCTAAACACTATACTCGGACAGTCATATGCATGATCAACACTGTTGTCTATGAATGAAAATTCCGACGGAGTCAGTATAGGCGGGCGGCGTATCAAATACCAAATAATTATTATTTATTAGGTATTTGTTAGTAAACTTTATTAAATTTGTTTGTCAACATCTTTATTTAAACAAAGATGATGCGTTAAATATACGTTTTTGATAGTTTTCAAGAAATGAATATATTTATTCCCTAATGACTTCGTTCTCTGTGTTTAATAGTTTTAAAATGTGTTTCAAGTAAATAAACGACAGACGGGTTACAGATTGAATATTGTCAGCACAGGCACAAAGACAGTTGAAAACTAACTTTCGACGAAGTTAGATTTGTTTCGCTTTAACTATTTACGATAATTACTTTATATTTTATAAACACTTTTTTGTACAAGTGCTCTTTTTTGATATACGAGTAGGTGTTCATGTTTGTGCCTTACAGTTTGGTAGTGGTAGTGCATATTCGAGGAGTTATATTTATTGTGTAGTATATTAGGTAAATACTTTAAAATTTTATTAAATAGTAAAATATTGGTGTCTTTATAAATTTAATAAAAACAATTTAATAGTAGAATTATATTGTTACAATAGTAATGGATTCAGAGGCGGGTCCAAGTGAAACCCAATTACGTTGGCGAAAGCCCTTATCAAAGGATGAAAAGAACATTATATGGAAAGTGTATGATGGGCTGAAATAGACACTTCCTACAAATGAAGCTGTAAACCGCAGTTCTTTTTTAACTGGAGTATCTGTTTCAACAATTGAACGTATTGTACGCGAAAATACAAAAAGACTCCTTAGAAGCCCCTAAAACGCATACCCGTGGTCGAAAATTGTTGAAATTGGACGATAACCAATAACAAATCATTGGAAGAACTGTACATTCTTTTTTTTTTTTTTTTTCGAAAACAAAGCCCCAACACTTAAAGTTGTTCTTACGAAATTAAGAGAAAACGAAGAAATTTCATTAATGAGCCCCAAAACTTTACGAAAAATTTTATGGGACTTAAAATTTCGTTTTGTCAAACGGTGTAGGAAATCAATTTTAATTGAGAGGTCAGATATAGTGTCCTGGCGATGGCGTTATTTACGAAATATTAAAGAGTTTAGAGCCGCTAAAAAAAAGATATACTATCTCGATGAAACGTGGGTGAATGCTGGACACACGGTATCTAAGATATGGCAAGATACTTATGTAACTAATCATCGCCAAGCTTTTATAGAGGGATTATTTACAGGTTTGAAAGCACCATCAGGTAAAGGACAGCATCTAATTGTTACCCATATCGGAAGTGAATCACCTTCTTCAATATTTTGTTCGAGTATAGCTTGTCATTCAAGTGAGTTCGAAAGTGTTTGACAAGCAGTAAAGACGATTATAATATATTAGTAGCGGCGTACGCTGCTTTAATCAAAATTAAAAATATATTGATGTATTCTGTATTATGTGGTTAAAATTACATGACAAATATATTCTTTTTCTTATTTTTAATGCGTTGGCCATAATTTGAATCCACTTTTAGGTATATTGCATCGTTGTTATGTCTATTTTAACCAGGACTAGTTATAAAATAACTAACAACAAAAAGTTAAACTGAAAAATTTAAACGTCATAGTAATAAGTAACCTTTTTACCTGACTGTTAAAATTAACTAAAACGTTACAGAATAGACCCCATAGTCACTTATTCGGACAAAATGGGCAAAAAATGACTTTGCTGTTTGTTGCATGTAGTTCAATTTCTTGTATGCCAGTCTTTGGGCACATTTAGATTGATCATCCAAATTCAAGCAAGATTGCGGGTTTAATTAATTTTGAATGGTAAGAAATTTAGGTTAGTTTAGGTGGTTTCAATTGATTTTAAATTGTAAATCATTTCGATTATTAAGTTAATTGATTTAAGATTGATTATCTTAATTTAAAGGTCTAGTATCCCACAGGATTAACGTCCAACTCATTTTTTTGGTCTATTACACTTATTGACGAGTCCATAAAAATCTAATTCGTCACACTTTAAATAAAAAAAATATGTATACTATATTGGGAAAATGTATATACAGGTAGGTACCTACCTTAAATCTGAGAGGACCAATTGGTGGTTTAGCAAAAGGTATTTGTTGAAAAGCGAAGAAGGATATTCCTCTTTGCGAGTATTCTTGCCTTCCCTGGATCACCCCATTGGGTATGGTAACTTGCTGCCCTTTCTAAAGGAAAAATCAAATTATAAAAACTGGATTTTGGTAAATAATATAAATCAAATCATGGAATGAAATAAAAATCTAACGAATATATTTACTTACCACGCAAATGAGGGTTGCGAAAAAACACAAAAAGCCTGTAAGAATCATGACGATAATATATGTATTGTTTGCAAAGCAACAAAATGAGTGTCACATAATCGGTACACTTCATCAAAATATCCATAGATTAGATCATTAAAAAAAAAACACTTGATTATATGTTATTTTTAACATAATTAGGTATTACTGTTGGAAATGACAATAATATAATCATAGTGCGGTGTCACAATGAACTTTTATTAACTTTAAAATAATCACAGTAAATAACTTTAACTCTAATTGTAAAAATAAACTGTAATTATAACTTTTGTCTAAGATTCAATTTAGGGTTATTGGTCTACACCACTGTCTAGATGTCGATTGGCGACACATCGAAATGTTGGATGACAGCTCTATTAATTGAATAAAAACATTTTGTTTTTTTTTGCAACGATAATATTGTCATAAACAATAAGTCTAAAATAATTAATTTTTAACGTATTTTTGCATTTTCTAGTAATAAAATGAGTGATTCGGAAAGTTTGCCGCTATCTGATATTGAAGAACAAGCTTTAAATATATAAACCGGGAGCCTAAAGGGTTTTTGCATGTATCATAGGCCCCACGACGAGACTTTGGGGGCCGATGGACAACGTTATTCCCCACTTTGAATTCCCGGTATGGCACTCCTAAAGTGTAGCTATTAGGGAGGTGAATTTTCAAACGTGTAATTAATATCCATGACCTTGGATTATAGGCCCCACTTTAAATCTTGTTTTATGTCGTCAAGGAGGGTTGCCAAAGTCCGCGAACTCAATATGCCATACCAATATGGCGTCACTTAAGTTCCGCCATACTTACCGAAACACGTAATTTTTTCACTGTAGACATGTATCATGAACCCGACGCTGTTGTTTCGTGATCTTGGTTAACAATGAGCTGTAGAACAATATTTCAAAACGCCATACCTCTGGGGCGTCGCCAAGTGGCCGCCATATAGACCTTTTCATCATATTTTTTTTTGTGCGCATGCGACAGTATCAGCCATCTTTTTTGTACTGTTTTTGTAAACAAGCATGTTAAAATGTCCACGTGAAAAAAATTATAATCGACAAATATTAATTTAAGGAGGTCCTTTCGCCACACCTCTCGCCTCAAATGTTAAAAAAAAGTTATTAGATTATGACTAAAATTAATTTTTTTCTAATAATTGAAGTCCTTATTTATCTAATACTGCACTTTTAACTATACCTTACCTTGCAAATTTTTGAGAATTTTTTTTTAAATGTGAGTATTTGTACAGTGCCTCACGAGAAAGTAAGTCCTCAACAACAATTTTTGAATTATACTATTATTTATTGATTAGATGGAGTAGAAAAAAACTAAAAATAAGGTTTTTAAAATATTTAGATTTTGTTTTATACAATAAAATATATATAGTAAACCGTGGAACTTATTGAGAAATTAATATTAAAAAATCACAAAAAATTTTCAAGTAACCTAGTTGAAAATTTTTTGTGATTTTTTAATAATAATTTCTCAATAAATTCCACGGTAACCTATATATTTTATTGTAAAAAACAAAACCTAAATATTTCAAAAACCTTATTTTTAGTTTTTTTCTACTTCATCTAATCAATAAATAATAGTAAAATTAATTATAATTCGAAAATTGTTGTTGAAGTCTTACTTTCTCATAAGACACTGTACAAACACACACATTTTTAAAAAAGAAAAATTCTCAAAAATTTGCACGGTAAGGTATAGTTAAAAGTTCACTATTAGATAAATAAGGACATCTACTATTAGAAAAAGATTAATTTTAGTCATAATCTAATATTTTTTATTTAACAATGGTGGCGAAAGGACCTCCTTCGGAATGATAAAAAAAAACTTTGTCATGATAATTTATTTATCTATTTATAAAAATGTTTACAACGAAAAAAAAACTAAAGATAATACATGAAACTTTAAATTAACACATTTAAAGTAATCAATGACTGTCACTTGAAAGTGATTGAAATTTTGCATGCTAGCTTTTCTTATGCCGTGATAGTCGGTGTACAAAATCACGATAAGTCAGAACGAAAATGACTGCTTGCATAAATTACGAACGGCCTATGAATCTTTGCAAGTAGTTTTTGAGTTTTATTGTTTTATGTTCTGAAGTTGTTGCAGATATTTAAATATTTTTACGTACGATCAAGGTCTGTGGTACGATCTCACTGATGCAATCGTACATCGTACAGAGAGTTAAAAAATCGTATAAATACAATTTAAATCGTACGGTTGGCAACACTGAAACAAACAGTAGAAGTGGACAGTTTGTAAATATTATGCACAGAACAATTGGCATACAACAAAGTATGTGATTGCATCACTTTAGCAGGGGTTACACTGCCATACCCACATACTTTGATTACTATACGGTGCAAGAGAGAGGTCCGACGGGTCCGACACGTCCAACATAGGGCGCGGCCATTTTGATTCCTATGCCACTGTTTATAAATCGAAAAATCGAAAAATCGAAAAATCGAAAAATCGAAAAATCGAAAAATCGAAAAATCGAAAAATCGAAAAATCGAAAAATCGAAAAATCGAAAAATCGAAAAATCGAAAAATCGAAAAATCGAAAAATCGAAAAATCGAAAAATCGAAAAATCGAAAAATCGAAAAATCGAAAAATCGAAAAATCGAAAAATCGAAAAATCGAAAAATCGAAAAATCGAAAAATCGAAAAATCGAAAAATCGAAAAATCGAAAAATCGAAAAATCGAAAAATCGAAAAATCGAAAAATCGAAAAATCGAAAAATCGAAAAATCGAAAAATCGAAAAATCGAAAAATCGAAAAATCGAAAAATCGAAAAATCGAAAAATCGAAAAATCGAAAAATCGAAAAATCGAAAAATCGAAAAACCGAAAACTCGAAAAATCGAAAAATTGGAAAATCGAAAAATCGAAAAATCGAAAAATCGAAAAATCGAAAAATCGAAAAATCGAAAAATCGAAAAATCGAAAAATCGAAAAATCGAAAAATCGAAAAATCGAAAAATCGAAAAATCGAAAAATCGAAAAATCGAAAAATCGAAAAATCGAAAAATCGAAAAATCGAAAAATCGAAAAATCGAAAAATCGAAAAATCGAAAAATCAAAAAATCGAAAAATCGAAAAATCAAAAAATCGAAAAATCGAAAAATCGAAAAATCGAAAAATCGAAAAATCGAAAAATCGAAAAATCGAAAAATCGAAAAATCGAAAAATCGAAAAATCGAAAAATCGAAAAATCGAAAAATCGAAAAATCGAAAAATCGAAAAATCGAAAAATCGAAAAATCGAAAAATCGAAAAATCGAAAAATCGAAAAATCGAAAAATCGAAAAATCGAAAAATCGAAAAATCGAAGAATCGAAAAATCGAAAAATCGAAAAATCGAAAAATCGAAAAATCGAAAAATCGAAAAATCGAAAAATCGAAAAATCGAAAAATCGAAAAATCGAAAAATCGAAAAATCGAAAAATCGAAAAATCGAAAAATCGAAAAATCGAAAAATCGAAAAATCGAAAAATCGAAAAATCGAAAAATCGAAAAATCGAAAAATCGAAAAATCGAAAAATCGAAAAATCGAAAAATCGAAAAATCGAAAAATCGAAAAATCGAAAAATCAAAAAATCGAAAAATCGAAAAATCGAAAAATCGAAAAATCGAAAAATCGAAAAATCGAAAAATCGAAAAATCGAAAAATCGAAAAATCGAAAAATCGAAAAATCGAAAAATCGAAAAATCGAAAAATCGAAAAATCGAAAAATCGAAAAATCGAAAAATCGAAAAATCGAAAAATCGAAAAATCGAAAAATCGAAAAATCGAAAAATCGAAAAATCGAAAATCGAAAAATCGAAAATCGAAAAATCAAAAAATCGAAAAATGGAAAAATCGAAAAATCGAAAAATAAAAAACTCCAAATATCGAAAAATCAAAAAATCAAAAAATCAAAAAATCAAAAAATCAAAAAATCAAAAAATCAAAAAATCAAAAAATCGAAAAATAAAAAAATCCAAAAATCGAAAAATCAAAAAATCGAAAAATCGAAAAAAACTAATAATATGGAGAAATATGTAATTTAATTAGGTATATTTTTTGCATATATTTTTTGTATACATTGTAGATAAATATATATTTTATATTGCATATATGAAGGGTAAGGGGAAAAAACAGATGATGTCACAAAACTGTCTTGCTAAGAAAATTGAGTTTATAATTAATATTACTACCAAATCGTATGTTATAGTTATAGAAATTATTAAAACCGCACGTAAATATTATTAACGTAATTTATTACTATAGAGTTAAATTGTTATAAAATAATTTAAACGTAAGAATTTTATATTCAAGTTATAAAAAAAATAAACGTGACAAATAACTTATTAAAAAGGAATGATTTTCATTTTAAAACTAACTATATATACACATAATTTTTTAAAATAATAATTATATATACGACTAATTGTGCACGTTAACGACATGCCATGGCTATGGCAGTGATATATTCGTACTTTATACTTCAAAATATTCATAAAAATGCCATTATGCACATACTTTGATTTTCTTTTACTATACGGAGAATGGTCGCACTGCGCAGCTCTCTGAGTGCCTTTTAAAAGGAGTCAGAACACTCCGCCATTTTGAACCCTTATTACGTGTTGCCTACATCTTGGCGCAATATTTTTAATAGGTGCGTTTTATTCATCCGCTTCTGCTTCGGAATTGTCGGTTTTCTTGTTTTAATCTGACAGGTTAAAACGACTAAACCGACAATTCCGGAAGCAGAAGCGGATGATTAAAACGCACTTGATGTTTTGCTTGCTGCTGTCAGTGTCAGTGAATATTTTTGAAGTCACAGTTTATTGCTAAAGAATCAGTTAGCTCACTCCTACCAGTTGAAAGTTCCAATATAACATCCACTCCAGGGATACACATTCAGGATACGCAGAAGACTGCTATTTTATTAAAGGCGGTTGTCATATATTGTATTATCTGAGTTGCACAGTGTATAAACTGAAACATTGAGATCAAAAGTGCCGACGCAGAGTGAGCGATCTGATTCTTTAGCTGTAAACTGTGTCACAGGGTTCAAAATGGCCGCGCCCTATGTTGGGCGTGTCGGACCTCTCTCTTGTCTCGTATAGTAATCAAAGTATGTGCCA